TCCCAGAACTTGGGAGGCAGAGGCAGGTGGATCTGTGAGTTCGAAGCCAGCCTGGTCTACAGAGCGAGTTTCAGGACAGCCCCGAAAGAAAAACCAAAAAAATCCTTTTGTTAAGTTGAAATGAAAATTATAGTTTTGGGGCTAGAGAGATGGCTCAGTGGTTAAGAGTATATACCATTCCAGCAGAAGACGCAGAACACTCGGCAAGAAAACTTCTAGTATTCTTCTTGCCTGGACCATGAAATGCTAGAGCCTTCCCCGCCTTTAATCTCAGATGCTTCCCTACATATACAAAGGGCCTCTAGGGGACAGTGTTGCTACTTTTGAGACCACTGATTTCTTAGTCTAGTGACATGAATCTGTTACATTGTTTATGGTTAAAAAAAAAAAAAAAAAAACCACAATAGCTTCAGTACCCAGGATCATAAATATGAGAGGTTCTGAATAACTGAGACATGGAGAAGTTATGGGGGGATATTTACTCAGATGTTCAGCTATGGGGTAAATCATAAAGTCTGTTCTTTGATACCCTTTGTTTTCTTCCACTCCTGTTTAGTAAGGCAGCATGTCAGACTGTCTCCAGTGTGACATTTACTTAGTAGACAGCTGCACAATGTAATCTGTTTCTTTATAGCTTTTGTTTTTAAATTAGGTAGGCAGAATAGTAACTATAGAAACTGTAAAATTGGAAATTTCCCTATAATCATACTGTTGGTTCATTTGCTGATATTTTAACAACTAATATATACTTATCTGTACATATATACTGTATATTATATATAGTGCTAAAAATATCAGCAAGTGATCCAGTAGTATGATACATATATACCCTAAGGCAGGCTGTGTAGCCCAGATGGCCATGAATTTGTGATCCTTTTATCTACTTGGGTCTCCCAGTTGCTGAGATTACATCCATGTGTAACCATACCTTATTGTATTTTGTGCTTTATGCCCATGTTTTGATATTCATACTATGTCTTTTGGCTTAGCATCACATAAATCTGTGTTGTATAGCTTCAAACTAATTAAACAATTACATCCTGTGGTTTGTTTCTCTAATTGAACTACTTTTCTGCCTTTAGATTGTTTAAAATATAACACATATTTTCCCTTTAGAATAGGTTCATAGAGATAGTAATTTAATCAGTGGGTTTTTGACATTCTTTAATTTTTTAATAAATTTGCTAAATTAAAGTAAAGCTGGTCCACTTTTACTGCTGATGGCATACACGATAGAGCAGTATATGAAAGTGTAAGTTTCAATCACCCTTGACTACAGTAGGAATTACTTTAAAATTATTTTATATCTGTCAGTGCACGGGAAGGGGGGAGCTAGGAGAATAAGAAGGGGAAAGGGGAGGGATACAGAGGACATGAGGGAGCAGAAAGGTTGTGTCAGGGGAAGAAGAGAAAATAACAAAAATGGAGATACCATAATAGAGGGAGACATTTTAGGTTTACAGAGAAATCAGGCACTAGGGAAATGTCTGGAGATCTACAAAGATGACACCAGCTAATAATCTAAGCAACAGAGGAGAGGCTACCTTAAATGCCCTCCCCTGATAATGAAATTGACTGACTTATATGCCACCCGATAGCCCTCATCCAGCAGCTGGTGGAAGTAGAAACACACCAACAGCTAATCACTGAACTGAACTGGAATCTAGATGCAGAGAGGGGCCAGTGAAGAGCAAAGGGGTCCAGAGCAGGCTGGTGAAACCCACAGAAACAGCTGACCTGAACATCGGGGAGCTCTTGGTCCCCAGACTGATAGCTGGGATACCAGCATGGGACTGATCCAGACCCCAGGACCGTGGGTTTCAGTGAGGAAACCTCAGAAATCTATGGGACCTCCTGTTGTTGTTTAGTACTTATCTCTAGCACAGGTGTGGTGCCCATTCCACATAGAGGAATACTCCCTGAGCCACAGGGGTGGGGGTGGTGGATGGGCCTAGGCCCTATCCCAAAGGATATGACAGACTCTGAAGACCCTCCCCATGGAAGACCTCACCCTCCCTGGGGAGCAGAAAGTAACCAACCAAAGGTGGGGACAATGGCAGAAGACTTCTATTATCATGTTTAAAGAGCAAATAGCAATTACTTCCCTTAATCCTAAAGACACTCCATAGCTGCACGTACTACTTGGTCTTCAGGTACTACTTGGCCTTTAGTTGCTACATAGCTGCAGGTATCACCTAGCCTTCAGGGTGAGTGTAAACTCATCTGGGCACAAATCTATTGTTAGATAAGAGCCATTCCCCACCAAGGCCAGGGCATCTTGTAGCTGGTAAGCTAATATCTTAAAGACAATAGGAGTGATTTTGAGCTCTCTGAACTCTGGCAAGATGGATGGATTTCCATATTTGGGTCCAACAGCTCTAAAGCATTTTTAAAATGAGTTGAAATTAAGGAGGACTATACTTACTAGAAACGAAGAGAATTCCATTAGTCTGAGGTTTCAGAATCCCTCTACCCCAGAACCCTTGGGTTCTGCAGACTTGAGTTCAAGTCTGCAGGTGGCATCCCTGAAGATCTTAGCTTCAGTGGACAATGAGTGCTCCAGCTGCATAATTCACTGAACTGCCTGCCAGCTTCTACCCTGGTTTGTTGAGTCAGACTTCTTAAATAATTAAAAGGTTAACATTTGCTAGTCATATTTGGTGCTAAGCATACATCTTCTGTCCTTGATTTTATTTTGTCTTTGCTTGTGTGTTTTTGCTTGTTGAGACAAGGTCTTGCTATGTAGTACCCATATGAACATATTATAACCATATTAATAAATATTTTCAAACTCAAGATTCTCCTGCCTCCATTTCACTAAGTGCTGGGATATATATATATATATATATATATATATATATATATATATATATATATGTCACAAAGACTTATTTTTAATT